CTTTGCTGCCTGCTGCATCACTGGGAAGGGCCAACGGGCTGCTCTGCACTCCTCCCCCCCTCCCCTTCCCCAGCAACAGATTTATCAGCCAAACTTGGTTGCACTCCTGGCCACTTCAGTGCTGTGTTGCACTGCGGCTGTGCGCATGCACGCAGCACTTACCAACTACAGTATTAGCCACATGAGCCAAAAAAGCCCGATTGCCCATGCTCTCAATTTGCTTCATCTCGGTGCCGATCCAATATGGAACTGATGTATATTAGTGCACCTCTACTAAATGTGATTAACATGATAAAATAAGCATTCTGATGACAATCCAGACTAAGAAAACCTAAAGGGAACTAGAAGAAAAAGCAATTACTTTGACATTCTCCCTGGTCAAATGTGGGAATAATTAATTTAAGCATGACACTCTTAGCTTATACCTAAAATATTCCTTTTACCCTTATGCGTGTAAAAGTTTAAGAGGTCTCATAATATCCTTTGTGAACTTTGTGAACTCAAGACGTAACAGCAGAGAAGTATATCTTCTGGAAAGTGCCAGATTGCTCTTGAAACCGTCACAGTGGCACTTGGGCTAAATTGTGCCCTCTATTTTATACCCTGTTTGTTAAGGGTAATGGGGTTGTATGTAGTGTTCAAAATAAAAGTCAGAACTTGTATGTGATAGGCCAGAGATTTGCTGCTCAATTCAGATGTTCTCCATTTAGGTGCTGGCATGTTTAGAGGGTAAGAATGATGTTTGTCAGCATAGAGTTGGTTTTAAAAGATGAAATCCATTTCCCTTTTCACAGGCAGAATGAGGAGTAAGGATCCCAAAAGGGTTTCTGCATTCGTTATTTGATTTAGAGAGCAAGGCTTTGCTTCTGGATTAGACAAGGTTGCAAAATGGATTTGCTTATTAATGTGAAATTTCATGGCATTGAGCAAGCTAGTTCTGTAGATGTCTTTCTGGATAGTCTTTACTGCATTGAGACAGACAAGGATTGCTCAGTTAGTGCCTTAAGCTAATCTGCCTGAAAGTTTAAACATCAATTTAACAAAAATAGAAAAGGAATTGTTGGGGAACTTAGGACAGAAACAATTTTTCCTCAGAGCAATCATTCGCATTTAACATGTGGGCTCTAAAGGGAATGGCTTTGTTGGTAGCATTTGCATTATCATACTGAGAATCTATATTGTCTGCTTAAAGTTTAGGTTGTATATAATGGTGGACTTCTATTTTGTGTTTTTGCTGTTTTCTGTGTACAGATTTGCTATTTGAAAACCACTTTATCTTGTAAGGACACAAACTTTATTTAGTATTCTGTCTTTCACTGTAGTGATTTATAAGAACATCTTGCGACTTTAAGTCAATATACAAGAGTGCCCGAAGGAAAGATTCACTTAATCTACCTGTGATATGACTAAAGAGGGATATTTTTTTCAAGTACATCTCCAGTGTAAGACGACATTTTTGGTGCTACTTATGCAGTTCAAAGCAAGAGAATAAGTTTAAAAAAAAGTGAGGATGTGGTATCATTTTTTTTGGTGGCAATTCTTTACAAAGTGAAGAATTCCATTAAAAAATACTGAAATTTGTTAAACCGATGACACTAGAAGAACTATGGATCCAAAGCCTTAGCTGTCATTCTTCCAGTGAGGCTGTCTTTTTGTTTTTCCTCACGTAGCTAGGCCAGGGGTGTTCAACCTTTTTTTTAAATAAGTGTACCCCTGGCAGCTGGATGCAGAGCCAGGGAGTGGGGAGGTGGTGCATGGGGGAGCAGTGGCAGTGCGGGGTGGTGGGTGGCAGCAGCGGCTGCCGCATGTGAGCTCCCCCCTGAACCCTGCCCTGCATCTGGCGAGCCGGGCAGCGCTTGTGCAGCCCACAGAGGCATGCCGCTGCCCTCCTTCCCCCAGCCCTACTCCTGGGAGGTGGCAGTGTGGGGTGGTGGGTGGCAGTGCTCCATCCCTGCCCACCCTTGCGTACCACCTTGGGCCTTCCCAGTTACCTCACTGTACCCACTGACACCCCCTGAGCTGGGAAGAGGAAGGTAATAGTATTTGGCCAAATACTTATCTGTGATATAAGTGCCTTGAAGTCAGGGCTTTTGGGGTGAATATAATGAGAACTCTTATTTGATTACTGTTACAGTTATTGATATTTGCATGAAGGACTTCACTCTTTCTGTGTTCAGCTTTCCTGTCTCTGTCTTCATGCATAACAGCAGAAGGTAAAGAAGAGATGGGAGAGGGTCATTTAGACATGCGTTTGAACTAACAAAGTGCGATTCTATGGAAGATACCATGTCAGGGATATTGCTACTGAATAAGTTGAATCAAATTTAACTTGGTCTGTTCTGCTTGCATCTAACATAAATTTGGTGGATTCAGACCTACTTAGGCAAGTTTGAATTGGATCCCAATTTTACATTTTTTCTAGCAGAAAGATTCCCTTTCTTTAATGGCTGGTGTTCTTGCTATGCTTCTCTACCACTATATGTTGCTAGATATAGTTTAATATGGAGGAAAAGGGACAAAAAAAATTAAAGAAAGGATGGGGGAAACACTAAAACAAGTATTCTTTCAATACCTACTTCAGAATAGTTGGGGACTGCCTGCTTAGTGACTAACTGCATCTAATTCTTTGAGAATGTATTGACTCTGATACCAAGTTTATGAAGACTGTTGCTCTGTGCATGGGCCTAGTGGTAAGGGAAATGCTTCATAGTCAAGTAAAAAGGCAGTCTCTGCCCTGAAGAGCTTGTCGTCCATGCAGACAGCATGCAGTGAGGCTAGAGACTCAACAAAAAGTGGCTTAAACCACCAGTTAAGTTTGTACAAGACTTCAGTTCCATGAGTTCTGTAGCTTTTTAATTTAACCTAGGATTGGGGAGAATTAATGTCTGTAGGATTGCCACAAGGATTGAGGATTAATCAATACTGGGAAAGATCCTTTTGGTTTTGCTTCGGTATTAATCAAAATGGGGTACTAACTTTTTCTTGAAGAAACACTTTGATACTCTAACTTTTTTTTTGGTTGATTTCATATTTACACAGAAATTTACAAAGAGAAGAGCTCCATGTGGGTGAACTGAAGATATACTAGGTTTAAACTTGAGTCCCTTTCATTGCATGAGTTGCATGTTACCCACTGACACTGAAGTAAAGCTGGAAAAAAACCTACAAGTTAAGAAAACAAGAAGTTTGGAATTGGACTTGGGGGATCTGGGCTTGGAAATGCCTCAGGTAAGCCTGGTTTGTGTTACAATGGTATTTACTTTAATAAGCTCGCTCTCTAACATAGTTACAGGGCAAAGTTTGAAGTCAACAGGGAAGAAATATTCCAAAGAAGAGGAAAAAATAGTACCAAGTAACATGTCCTTCTGGTCTACTCTGAGCATGAAATCCAGAAGTCAGAGTTAAGCCTCTCCCTCTGCTGGGATATCATCTTGTAAAATCATAATCACCAGTAGGAGAACAGAATTTAAAGCTCAAGCCTTCTCCCCAGGTTTGATGACTCCTAGAGTTCTTAATAGAAGGGTGCTCAACCTACCTTCCTCTTTTTAGCCTCTTTCTTTTCCTTGCCTCCATCATATCTGCATGGGCTGATAAGTTGGTGAAACATGCTAATACTTTCCCATCAGCATCATCACATGTTAAAACAGTTACTCTTCCAACAAACATCACCTTTCTCTTAGTATCTGTGATTCAGAAATGCTTTTCCCTTTGCAAGTAGATTGATTCTGCCTTGACTCCTGATTGGTTCTCCCAGTCTAGAGAACAGTATATCTTTTTGTGATCTTAGAAAGGGAGGAGAAATCAGGCTTATAACAGCAACTTGTTTGCAGTGTAAACTGCCATGACTATGCCACTTTTCCAGTTCACCTTTCTAATTGGCTGTACGTTTTGAGACTAACCCATCTAGTGGCTATGCATTCATACATATCAATAGGAAATAATTAGTCTAGTTCTCTGACAGTTCTGTAGCCTGCTGTGGATTCTCAAGGGACAGTGGGCTGCTATAATATACATTTTTCCTTACTGCGGACATGAGTCTAAAAGTGCCATAGCATTTTTGGGATGCTGCTGATGTTTAAGATGAGGACTGTGCTGCTGCTAGTTGTGTAGTCTGTCACACAGCAGGATTCAGCAGAGTTGTCTTCCTGATGAGACTAGTGGAGGACAGCCTCTTATTACTGCAGTGATTCACACACCAGTAGACTGACTGAGCCTTTCAGTAACACAGTGCATCCTCTCCTCTTACCACTCATTAGTTTCAGGAGGTCTTGGGATCTCATGAAGACCAAGATTTAAAAATAAGGTGAAAGCAGCAAATGGTCTTGTTACGCCACTAAAGTTTGTGTGGCTAGCAATCCTAATCTAATTGCAGAATCATTCTACACAAAGCCCTGCTTCCTTCTTAGCAGATGGAACAAATCCATTACAAATAAATTGAGGGGTTTTTTTGTATGTTCTCTACCCAGAACTAAAAAAAAAATAGCAGGCTCTTCTGGCTAAGACTGAAGGGAAAAGCTGCCAGAACTAGAAAAGCAGGGAGTATTGCAAATTGGAAGTAAAGCCGCTGGGGATGCAAGGTTGTGATAGTGGCTGCTCTTAGGAGTACTGACTATGCCCAGGTATATTGGTCTGTCACATTTAAAAATGCTCAAGTATCACTAAGGTTGCTAAACAAATAAGGATTTTGACCAGCTGAAAAAGAATGAATGAGCAACTGTCCAGCAGCTACAGTGGATACAAATGTCAGTGTCTCTTCTTTTTTGTAGGTGAAAGCACTGAATGTCACTAATTGGCTGAGAAAATATGATTTAACAGTTTAAGATATTATGTGTGTTTGTTTATCTAAAACATTTTTTCCAAATGCAAGCACAGAGCAAGTTTAAAGGCTGTTCAAGTGAAATAAGTCTTGGGGAAAGTTTTACTTGTAATGTAGCAATCTTTAAAATGGTCTCTTTATGGAAACATGAAATCTCTGTTAAGTTCTGCTGAGGTAATGAGAGAGATCTTTGGAGAGGGGTTATTTAACTGTTTTAGAGCTTCTTTAAAAAAAAAAAAAATTCCAATGATTTTGTTGTAGCCCAGTGTGAGTGGAATGGACCCTCCTTTTGGGGATGCCTTTCGGAGCCATACATTTTCAGAACAGACGCTGATGAGCACAGATCTTCTGGCAAACAGTTCAGATCCAGATTTCATGTATGAACTGGTAAGTAATCTGTTTGTTTGTTTATCTGACTTTTACCTTGGGCTGCGCTTTAAATTCCTAGAAAAATGAGGGGGTGATCGTTTGAATAGAGGCCACCTGTCTGACTGATTATTCATTACTGCCCATTCCTTACCTCAGCCACCAGACTAGCAACAGTAATATCCATTCAAAAGAAGGTTTGTAAATCTAGAGGTCTTCAGGGGCCTTGGACTGTAAGATATACAAAAGCTTTGAATTGAGTAAATGGTAGGCCTATATGAATAGGGAACTATTTGATTCGGATTTGCTGATTTGGATGCCAGCGATTCAATTCAGAGATTTGAATAGTTTTTTTTGTTTTGTATTTCCGATTTTCAATTTGGCCAAATTTGATGCGGAGCTGCTTCAGAGATTCAGCCATAGAGTGTAATGGGGAATCAATTAAATATCTAACTTTGTTGTTTTGGGGCTGATTTGGATGAAACTTGCAGGGATGGTAGCCTCTGCTGAGGGCATGAAGCCTGCCAGGTTTCAAGGTGATTAGTGTAGGGGTTTCTGGGAAACTGCACCTCAAACTGCTTAACAGACTGGCTGATGGCAACATCCTGAGGGATATCCAGCACAGGTTTGTTGCAGGTAGGTCTTCCTTGACCAGTCTTATTTCCTTTTATAACCAGGTGACATATCACCTGGACAAGGGAGAAGAGATTGATGTTATATATCTTGACTTTAAAAAAGCCTTTGATCTGGTATCCCATGATCACCTATTGGCAAAACTGGCTAACTGAGGCCTCGGCCTCACCACGATCCACTGGCTGGGGAATTGGCTCCACAGTAAGACCCAAAGGGTGGTGGTTGATGGAAGTCAATCGTTGTGGTGCCCTTTGCCCAGTGGGGGTCCCTCAGGGATCTGTCCTAGGGCCTATACTATCTAACATCTTCATTAATGATGTAGACATTGGTGTTGAAAGCGGACTGGCCAAGTTCCCTGACATCAGACTCTGGGGTAAAACATCCACACCTGAGGACAGAAGGGTGATCCAAGCAGACCTTGACAGGCTCAGGAATTAGGCAGATGAGAACCTGATGGTGTTTAACACCAAAAAATGCACAAGGTCCTCCACCTTGGGAGGAAAAACCTGCAGCATGCTTATAGGCTCAGCAGTGCTACGCTGGTTAGCACTACGGACGAAAGGGACTTGGGGGTCATGATTCTTCACAAGATGAACATGAGCCTTCAATATGATGCTGCAGCTAGTAAAGCGAGCAAAATGCTGGCCTGTGAGAAATCCCAGGATGTCATTCTCTTGTTGTACTCACCTTTGGTGAGGCCGCAGCTGGAGTACTGCGTCCAGTTTTGGGCTCCACAGTTCAAAAAGGATGTGGAGAAGCTTGAGAGAGTGCAGAGGAAAGCCATGTACATGATCAGAGGTCAGGAAAACAGACCTTATGATGAGATGCTGAGAGCCATGGGGCTCTTCAGCCTGGAAAAGCGCAGGCTCAGGGGTGACCTGATAGCCACCTATAAGTTTATCGGGGTGCTTAGCAGGACCTGGGGGAACCAGAGCACCCCAAGGGATGACAAGGTCGAACGGTCACAAACTATGCTGCGACCGATTCAGACTGGACACAAAGAAGAACTTCTTTACTGTCCGAGCCCCCAAGGTTTGGAGTAGACCGCTGCTGGATGTAGTTAAAGTGCCCACTTTGAACGGTTTCCAGAGACATTTGGATGCTTATCTTCCTGGGGTCCTATGATCCCTGCTGACTTCCTGCCCCTGGGGCAGGGGGCTGGACTCGATGATCTTTCGAGGTCCCTTCCAGCCCTAGCGTCTATGAATCTATGACAAGCAGAACTCTTGACATAGCTGAAATGGTGTATGTAAGGCACAGGGGGGTGAAAACTGCAGGCCTGCTAGGCCCTGCTGCAGCCATGAAGCCTGCCAGCTGTCAAGGCCTGGCATTCTGGGGCCCTGCACCTCTGGTAGAGAGAAGTCAGTCGCTGGCCATCTAGAGATGTCAGTCCTTTCCGCTTCTCCTCCCCACCCTGTTCCCCCTCCCTCTTTCTGTTTCCCCATGAAGACTGCCCTCTGAATCTTTTCTGGATCGATTCGGAAAGTTAAGCTTCTAGCATTTCAGTTCGGAGATTTGACCTCCAAATTGGGCTGAATCTTCTCCAAACTGAAGCTTCACACAGCCGTAGTAAATAGTTGTACTGCTGCTGGGGAATGGTGCTTGAAAGCTGAAAACTCAACAATGTAGTTGCTCTTAGAACAGGTGTTACATCATCTAAAAAAAGCAGAACAGAACTGAAACATTGACTTCTTAATATTTTTCAACATAAGCATTTCCCATTGCCCAGGTAATAGTGATCACCTTCATACATTATTTCACAGATTTGGATAGAATAAAGTTTTCCAGGATCTAAATGGCCTAGGATTGATAAAGGCAGATGTGTAGAGTCTTTTATCTCTTCATTATGTGTACAAATCTGATGTAGACCAGTTGAGAGGAAAGTAGTTTCCATCTGATGGCTCTTTAATACGCTAAATGAATTGTTGGTTTGAGTCCAGTTCCTAGTGGTCAGGCATGCACACCATACAAAAAAATCTTGCCACAGTTGGCTGGTATCTTTGGCAGTCTCAGCAGAGAAGCCTAAAGCTGTTGAAGCATGGAAACTAGGTTTCAGCCTTGCCCCAAGAAAATGCTTTAGCTAAAAGCTGAGGTACATGGAGTCACATTGTATCATAAGAGAAGTCTCACATACTGTCTGTCATTTCCCAGTATTGTTGGCTTAAATGGAAGCCCATTTCCCTAAAATATATCTTGTTAACTTGTCTTATTGTGCACAGGACAGAGAAATGGACTGTCAGCAGAGCTCCAGAGACAACTTCCTTTCTATGGAGGACTGCAAAGACATTGAAAACCTGGAGTCTTTTACAGACATTCTGGGTAATGAAGCATTTGCCTCAAACTGGGAGCAGTGGGACACGTACTGTGAAGATCTAACCAAGTATACCAAACTAACCAGCTGTGACATTTGGGGAACAAAAGAAGTGGATTATCTTGGCCTTGATGATTTTTCAAGCCCATACCAAGATGAAGAGGTGATAAGTAAAACTCCAACTTTGGCCCAGCTTAACAGCGAGGACTCTCAACCTGTCTCAGATTCACTTTATTACTCAGATTCACTTTTTAGTGTAAAACAGAACACTCTAACTTCTCTGCTACCTGGCAAAAAGATCACAAGCAGAGCAGCAGCCCCAGTTTGTTCCTCCAAAAATGTTCAGGCTGAGGCGCCTTTGTCAGACTGTGTTCAAAAAGCGAGCAAGCCCACGTCAAGCACACAAATCATGGTGAAGACCAACACATACACTAATGAGAAGGTGAACATTCACGTTGAATGTAAAGACTATGTTAAAAAAGCAAAAGTAAAGATCAGTCCGTTGCCACAGAGCAGACCGGTGTTGAGCCAGGCCCATGCAGATGCAGCAAAAGAAAACACCTGCTACTGTGGAGCTGTGGCAAAGAGACAAGAAAGGAAAGTGGTAGACTCCCTTCAGACTCCTAGTACTCCTCCTCCTGTTCTGCCTTTTAAAGAGACTCAGGAATTGCTCCTCAACCCACCCCAGGAAACTCCTGGGCTAATTGTGGGGGAGAGCAGCCTTTCTGCCAGTACGTGCGCGCCAGATTCTTCACAGAAGAAAGAAGAGCACAATTATTCTCTTTTTGTCACAGATAGCTTGGGTGAACAGTCAATCAAAGGAGACCCTGAAGAGGAGGATGAGGATGAGGAGGATGTTGAAGATGAAGACCATGATGAAGGATTTGGCAGTGAGCATGAGTTGTCTGAAAATGATGATGAGGAGGAAGATTATGAAGATGACAAAGATGACGACATCAGTGATACTTTCTCTGAACCAGGTACTTTTAAATTCTTGGCTTGCTGGAGCTGGGTAGCTTTGCATCTTCCCAGGAAATCTTGTGGAAAATATACTTTTGGTGTATGGTAACAGTTTGCCCTTACCTCTTATCCCTGGGTTCCAAAACTCTTTTCAAACATTCACTTATGAAGCTTCACTATACCCCTACAAGACAGGTATTCCTTCCTTTTCACAGAGAGATGTTAAATTATTGACCTAAGATCACGCAATAACATTAGTAATAGAAGCACAGAGAGAATTCAGGAATCTTGACTCCCATCCTATTGTTCTAATTGCAGGACCCTACTTGTATTTTTTTTTTTTTCCCTCCCTGTTCAACAGATTGATGGGGTATGCGGAGTCCTAACAGGACACATTAAATCAGTGATTACCTTTTCCCTAGATCCTATTGAGCCACTGTACATGATCGTCCCTAACCCCTCAACTTCCCCTAATTGGCCCATTTGTTGGCAATCACAGAAATGAATGAGATTGAAGCTCAGTCTCCACAGTCTCCTGTGCAAATAGCAAATGTAATTATAAAATTAACAGAACAGTCTGCTTCTGGAAGGTGATATGGAGTAACCATTACTGTATTAAAAAAAAAACAAAAAAAACCGTGCAGAATAATTAAACTAATTCTTAGCTATAATCACATTTTATACAGTCCTTCCAGTGTAGAATAAGCATCTGTGTTTTGAGAGAGGGGTATCACTTTTAAATCAGCAGTTCAAGTTAAGCATGCTGATGTCTGGCCATGAAAATTTTAGAATAAAGCTGCCTCATTAGCAAGGACTTTATACAAAATATACTTATGTTGCTTTGTATTCATTTTAAAGGCTTGTAATGTACATATGCAAGTATCTTAAAACATTACCTTCTTCACTTCTGTATGGAACTCCCTCAACTTATTCTCTCGTTCTGAAGTTTTGAGTGGCTTCTGCTATTATAATACTTTTGGGTGGTGGCACTTGATTCGGCTAGGTGCATTAGAGCATTGAGGCATGTTGCATATTATACATGGGAAAACCAGTAATCTTGAAAAGGTGGTTAATTATATTGCTGGCATTTTACTCTGGTAATACATTAATAATTTACTCTCTTTGGAAGTTTGTTTTATGCTGGCAAGGAGCCCCTTCTGCCTTCTATTAACTGCAAGTACTCCTGCATGTAGCAGCACAGTAACTGGGGAAACAAAATTGCTGCTTGACCTATATAATAAACTCACTAAAATTTCAAGTAAATGAAGGCCCTTTGCCTTGGCTGTTGAACTAAAGATTAAAACGCTATATAGTCTGAGTGTGCTACACCAGGGTTTTGTTTGTATCTTTTTCCTCCTTTATTGGTGAAAATACTTCAGAAAAGGGCCTGGGAATGAGCAGAAGTATTTACGAATTCTGTTGTACTAACATCAAAGGCAGAGAGCTGGATTTAGAGCTAAGGTGCAAGGACAAAGAACACTAACTCTCATTGACTTCCTATTGTGTGTATTTTCTATATAGATGATTTCATCTTATTTTCCCTACTTCCTCCTGCACTTTTTTGCAAGTGTGTGGAGTATGGGTTCATCTGAAGAGATGATAAAATAATAGCTTTCTGCCTCCTTTAGTTTCCATTGTTTAAATGGCATCCTGAAACTATCTCCCCATATTGAGTATCAGGACTTTGAGGTTTCACCCTCATCACTAGGTCATTGCAACAGTATGCCTTTAGTGAACTCCATTAGTGGCAGAGAGAAGGATAATCTGATAATTTAAGTACATCAAGTTCTGGTTTGGGAATTGAGGGCTATAGCTAGCTACAGTTACATTATCCTTTCCATAGCAGCATAGGGTTGCCTTATTTCTGTGTACTGAGGAGTTTGGACACTTTGGGATGGTATACAGTGTTTGCTGGAGTTTGCAGTGGGGGAAAAAAGCACGTGATGTGTGGGACTCAGGCTGGCTCTACAGCAGAGGCAACCTAGGGTAGGAATCATCATAAACAGAATTCCTCCCTGTTCCCTTCCAGTATTCGCATATTAGGCCTAAGATACTAGTCCCTAAACAAATGCATACCATTTTTGGCACTCTTACTATAATACTGAGAACTGGCGCATCACAGCTGCCTGCTTTCCCTTTACTTATATTTAGGATGAAATGCACTGTTACATAACCAGAACTCCCTGCCACACTAGAATGTTTGATTTGAATGGAAAGTAGCAAGCTCTGGCAGCTCATCTGAGGCTTTAGTCCTAACAAGGGTAGGGATCTGCTGACTTTGAAAATGTGTGTCAAGTTCCTAAATATCTTTGTTGGAAGACCAGGCATAGATGGATTTTTGCAGATTTGTGTATTCCTTGTCCAAATCTGTGAATCACAATTTACATTTTTTGTTCCCTTGTAACTACCCAGTATAAACCCTTGGAGTGTATTGGATCCTTAAAAAGGTGTTTAGGAGAGGGTACTGTCCTTAATTTTTTTTTTCCTCTAACCCAGGGGTGTTAAATTCATTTGCTCCTGTGTGCCAGATGAGGGGTGTGGGGCTGGTCTGCAAGCTGGATTGGGCCCATAGGCTGGCCCCATGTACAAGAGCCAGCCTGCAGGGTCATTCTGGTGCAAGTGCCACAGACAGCACGTGCCTTGGGCCAGCCCCGCATGCAGTACGTGGTGCAACGGGCCATTCTGGGGTGCATGCTACATACAGTGCACGGAGCCCGTCTGGAACACGCATCCGCCCCATGTATGCTGCGTCCATGCCAGACCAGTCCTGGACACTGGCTTTGACACGAGGCCAGTCTAAGGGCCTGACTTTGGATCAACCCCAGATCCAGTGAGCAGGGTTGGTCCAGTATGAGCACCACGGACAGCACATGCCCTAGACTGACCCTACGTGCTGTGTGCAACATGTGCAGGTTCAGCCCCTGAACCCTTCTCTCTGTGCAGCCTGTGCCAGATGGGTTCCACGCGCCATATACAGTGTGTGTGGGTCTGAGGCCAGTACAGGCTGCAGGAGCCAGCACATGCTGCATGCAGTGCACTGGTCTGAAGCCCACAGGCAGCACTGTGGGCCAAATGTTTGATGCGTTGACCCTAATCAATATGAGTTTTCTTGGGGTTTGTGTAAGAACAGTCATCTTGGCAGGATGAGCTTTACAGATATACTTGGGCTTGGATTTTTGTGAGTTTTGCTTTAGGTTTTGTGATTTTTCTGTAGAGACTCAAGAGATCCATGTTCTGTTGCTGAGCCACCAGCTCAGTATAGTCTTGGGGATTAGCCGTAATTTCTGTATCTCTGTTCCTTATTGGTAAATAGTGAAAAAGTTAACGATATTTAAGAGGCAGGGATTTTCACTGGGCCAACTGCATGGTTCGGATAGACATAGGCAAGGTTTCAAATGCTGAGCATCCTTCAACAGGTCTGGGGGAAAAAGCAGGCACAAAGATTAGCAGGAGTCAGACTGCATGGCATACTCAGTGCTTAGTCCTTGGTGTCCAGTAAATTTACGATTTTTGTTCCCAGGCTTACCTTTCGCAGGTATGTTCTCCTTGAGCTTAAGGACAGTAAGTTTAGAAAGTGAGTGGTAGTTCTGTGAAAAGTGTTGTTCTATACATGTCTCTGTTTTAATTTTTTTTCTTTTTTTTCTTTTTTACCTGTGATCATTCACTCTGCATAGTTTTAGTTTGGTTTCATCCACATGGTTTGCATTAGATAATTTGGTGCACTGGAAGTGATCTCCGCATGCATATCCCCAAATGTGGTATAATCCAGGGGTTCCGATGGGTTTGTTGTGGGCAAGTTGTGGTTTTTTGTAGTAGCAGAAATGCTTGACAGGTTTTGCATCTGCTGTTAAGGCAAGGCTGCATCCCACTTGATGTCTGCTTCTGATGACAAGGTTAGGGGGTTGTTTTGAAAGTCAGGACCTTGGGAAGGTGAGGCCTGATTGTTTAATGATACTTAATCTGTTATGTGTTTTTTGTTGGTTTTTTGTTTTTGTTTTTTTGTTCGTTTGTTTTTTGTTTTGTTTTTTTACTACTCATCCTAAACTTGTAATTAAAGAATTCAGCAAAGCTGAAAATAACATAGATTTCATAGACTTCTAGAGTTGGAAAGGACCTGGTAGATCGTCGAGTCTGACCCCCTGCTCCAGGCAGGAAGGAGCACTGGGGTTAAGTAACCCCAGCCGGATGCCCGTCTAATCTCCTCTTGAACATCTCAGGGAAGGGGAAAGCACCACCACCCTTAGAAGCCCATTCAATGTTTTGGCAACTCTTACCGTAAAGAATTTTTTCCTTGTGTCCAATCCAAACTGAAGGAGAACAGATTTATGGCCATTATTTCTAGTAATCCTGAGGGACGCCCTGGTAAACTGTGTCCCATTCCCTGCTGACTCCCCCATGATGAAGCAGCCACAAGATCACCTCTCAGCCTTCTCTTGCAGAGGCTGAAGAGATTCAGATCCTTCAGTCTGTCTTCATAGGGTCTTACCTGCAGGCCCTCATCCATACAAGTAGCCGTCTTCTGAACCCTCTCAAGGTTATCCACATCCCTCTTGAAGTGTGGTGCCCAAAACTGGATGCAATACTCCCATCTGCGGCCTCACCAGTGCCACATAGAGGGGAATTATCGGTTCCCTAGACCCGCTCGTGATATTGCTGTATCCTATTCTGTCCCAATTAGATAAACTAACTTTACACAGTTATGTAGACTGGAAAAGCTGAGACAAACAGTGCCT